CACTTGAGAAAGAGTGGGCACCTCCCAGAACACTGTTTTGTGCCACTCCCAACAGAAATACTCCAGGTGGACTTCTTCAGCAATCAGGAGCTCCTCAGTTGCTCATAGAAAATCCCACCTTGGAGTTTACAAAGACTTATGGGTAGAAAAGCCACACTAAGTAATTTACTACACTGCACTAGCTCTTCTTTCTAATTCACATGAACAGATTTGCAGTACATGACAATTTTCTGCCATCTCAGCGGTTTCAGCTGTCTCCAATGCTAGTATACTGAGATTCATTCTAGACTATCTCACCCTAGTCACACTGTTCATTTCTTACAAGCAGTTTTACTGCTTAACTATTTCTAGAATCTGACTCTTCTTCACTGTGATACAATCACTACATTAGGTCAACAGCTATACCCTTCAAGAACTCCAATTCCATGCTTACCCTGCACTGAGTCCATCCTCTGCCCAGCACAGAAAATAATCTACTTTAAATGACCACCTGACCCAGCCAGCTCCTCAATGAACCTCTTAATCATCAACCAGAGCAGTGGTTCTCCAAGTGTGGTCCCCAGACTACCAGCAGCATCACCTGGGAACTTGTTAGAAAGGCAAAGTCCTTCAAGTAACTCTGACACACACTGAAGTCTAACAACCCTAAAAAGGAGGATAAAATCCAAACTTAGTAAACAGCTGTATCATGTAAGCAGTAGAAGGTGATGGGAAGGCACAAGATGGTACACAGAGAAAGTAGCCAGGAAGCTTTGTAAACAAAATCCCAGGAAAGAAGGACAAACCATGAATGAAGGTGATATGTAACATGGGACAAATGGAGGAGACAGTGGGCAGAAACCATAGGCCTTGGTGGTTCTCTGGAAGTGTTATCAAGAGAAAACAGTCAACAATTACTGAGCAGTCTAGAAACTGAGTGATCAGGACTACAACACAGTGATACCAGCAGACTGTAGAAATTCAAGAGGGTGGGGAGCTACAAGGAAGACAATGTATCAGTGGACAGTCAAGCAGAGGGGGCTGAAAGATGTGGGAAATCGAGAATTGGGACTTCGGATATGGTTCATGGACACTTAGTTACTAGAGAGTCCTGAGGAGGAGGATATGGTAAAGCAACACTTCACAACTCATCAATCTCAAAAAATAAAACTCAAGAAATTAATTTCCTTGTCCCCAAAATGTAAAGGTACTTATGTTCACTTTACAAATGAAGTACAAGTACAAAGACTAAGTGATGGGCTCAAGCCACAATGCCATTGGATAGAATCCCTAACTTCAGTTGTCCTGCTTCCTAGTGAAGATTTTCCATCCCATTCCAGTGCCTCCTCAGCCAGTAGTAATGACCTAAAGGATACATCCTTCCTCTCATTCTGAAACCCATCCTTCTTTGGCAGAACAAGTGGTGGAGACTCCTTTTTCTTGTCTTTTGCCTGTTGTTCCTCTGTCCCCAATCCTTCAATCCCTAAGAACCTCATGACCTTGCTCCCACTGTATACTGGATAACCAACGTCACCACCCTGAGTCCATCATTCACACAGATCCTTCTGCTGGGGGAGCTACTGGACCTGACGACCCAGCAGATATTCTCAGAGTGCAGGAAACTGTACTTCTGCTTCCCAGGACACCCTCTCCAGCTGTCTCCATTTACCACTTCATGGGCCCTGAAGTCTCTGGCTGCTCAGCCCCTCACCATCAGCTCTCTTTCCTCAGCATCCAGTCCCAGTGGAGGGAAGCAACAGGGGTCTTCCAACAGCACTGGCTCTAAGACTTGCTAGAATCATCTGTATCATACCCTGTTTCCTTCACATCAGATCTAAGGCTAACCTGAGGGATCCACAGCTCACCTGGTACCGGGCTTTCAGGGGCATGACTGCCATCAGCTGGGCTCCCTCTTAGGGAAGGTCAGGGGCTGAAGAAGCAAAGAAAACCAAGAGTGAACCCTGTCCACCCAAAGGCTTTCCTTTAAACCTGCAAACCTGCTACTAACAGTAACAGCAATCACTTACTAAATGCCAACTGGCAAAGTGGTTTATATTTTCCACTTTTAATCCACACCATACCATGAGGTTTGTAATTCCAAGGAAACAGAATTCTGAAGGATATGTAACTTGCCTAGGTCACCAGAGACTGTACTCACAAACATGAACAAATACTGCCTTTCCTAGCAAAATAATATGGAGGGAGAGTGAGCTGAATAAACAAAGAGCAAAGTTAAGCAAAAGACAGAAAAAAAAAAAAAAAAAAAAAACTTAAGAGGACACTCAGATCTTTATTTTTAAAAACAAAATTTTACTAACAAACATAGAAAGTTTTAAAAAATAGAAAGGAGTATCATATTTTGGACCAAAAAGATATCTTCTCATTCTGTCCTCACAGTAATCCTCTAAATTATTTTCTTTAAACCCAAATGAGAAAACTGAGGCTAAGAGAGTATGTTTTTCTCTTAGCAGGTAGATAGATGAACTTGTATCCCAAACCAGATCAACCAGACTCCAAAAGCCATGTGTTCTGGTTACCCAGTGCCGCTCTGACAAGAATGTACCACAGATGGTATAGCCTTAACAAACAGGAGTTTATTCTTACAATTTGGAGGCTTTAAGTCCTAGTTCAGCCAAAGGGATTAGGTGAGGAGGGGCTTGTGCTTACTCACTGATCTGCACTGAACACTTTCCCTTGTTACCCTCCCGAGAGGGACCGGGTCTCCGGGAGCAAGGTAA